TTCTTGTGAGATCTTCCATCCATCATGTCCAAGTATCGTCAATTAACAGCGTGCATATATCAGCTACATTATTGAAGACTGGGATGAATGGATCACCGTATGAGTTATCACAAATGTTTTTAATGCCAAATAGTTTAGGGCCGAAATAAACAAAAACGTTAAAATATTACCTCTTTACCACTGCAAATGAATAATATTTGTCACAATTGTCAGCTTGGAACAATCCAATACGTTTAAAGTTACATAAATAATAAGAATGATGATGATAATGATAATTGCCCCTATTTAAATCTGAGAGTTGCCCGTTTAACTTTGACAGGTGCCCCACTTCCTTTGTAATAAGTGCGCCTTCCCCTTCAGATTAGGGCTACTTTTCATCGCTGATGAATGCCTCTTTTTCTCTTGCACGTACCCCCTTCCTTCAGCAATTGCCCCTTTCTTTTCATTAAAAGTGCCCCTTTTCCATTCTTAGTAGTGCCCCTTTTCATCTCTGGGGAGTGCTTCCTTTCAGTAGCTAGAATTACTCCATTTCCACCTCTTATAATTGCCCTTATTTTTAAAGTTCTCGTTTTCTTTGATCGTCTAATAAGTGTCATTTTCCCTTTTGAAAAATCTCCTTTTTTCTTTCTTCATAACATGTACCCCTTAATTAAAGCGACTAAGAGCAAGTTGTTTTCTTAAGTTTCCCCAAAGCTCCTCGCTACGCTCGCTCGCTCGTTTTTCAAATTGATATAATCCTGTTAATAATTAATGGTCTTTTTAGTTTTTCCTAATTATAATGTAGAGAAAGAAACAAATATTCAAACCATACCTGATAATTTAATCACAATAAAGAGGTATATAACAATGTCTACAACTTGTATATTTTCGCTTTGAGGTTTCCCTTTCTAGGTGACCCTTTTTGTTGGTGCCCCCTCCCCCTTTCATCACAAGGATTTAGGGTTTGAGGTAAAGGGTGTGAATTGCAATTTTCTTTGTAAGCTTAATGTATTAAAGTGCGACATAATACACATGTCTTTGTTATTTTAAATAGCGTTTTTTAGTGTCCCCTTTATCATTTGTTGAACGAAGTCGCAGTTACTTGAGCAAATCTTATTCTAATTAAAATAGATATCGGAAAATGGACTTATAAATAGAAGATTAACTATCGCTGTGCTCGGTGCATTGAGTTTATGAAACTTATAGAAGAGTGTTATTGACCGTGAGTTGATGATTGCGAACGTCTTGGGGTTTCTAGCTTGTAATATATATACATATATACACATTTTGAGAATAAACTGAAGATGAAACTAAAAGTGCACCACTTTATTGCACCATTCCTATATACAAGCTTCCTAAATGGCAAATGCAATAAAAAAAAAATCAAATCCAGTAATACATTTCACTCCGAAATGCGGACATAGAAGAGCATCACAAGAACCTCTAGATTTTACTTCGGATAAAAAAATTTAAAAGATTTATACTTCTTTAAAAACAGAATAAAAAGGGTCAAAACCAGAAGAGGGGGGTTACCACCACCACCACCCCCCCCCCCCCCCCCCCCCCCCCATCGCCCGGGCCCCGGGAAGCTTATATCTAAACCAGGGTCTAATCATTTTCATCTCTGATTTGGTTAACTTTTTGCCGAAGGATTTTGTTTTAATTAAACTATCCGTTTACGATTGCCTGGTTTATGCAACAGAGATCCAGTGATTATGGGTGTGTTTATATCATAATATATTATTTCATATTGCCCCTGTAGTTTATGATATCTTTTTTTATATTTCAAAGTCCCTATCGTTACAAAATAATTCCTAACTAGATAAATGATGTGAAATTTCGTATATTGGTACAGTTGTTTGCTTGCAGTTGCTAAATATAATACTAAATAAACAAATGACATCTTTCGAAGACAATATTAGCGTCCCTTGTTCAAAGGGCTTCAGTGGTAGAATGCGTGCATCTTATATTCCTCATATCATCATACATCAGACATAAATCATTGTCGAGCAGGTCATCTGATCATTATTCACATCATAGAATCTGAACAATAATCGATTTTTTGTTGTTATTTTCTTGTTATTTGTAATGACTGTAACTATATAACTGCACGGGTTTATTATCACAAAGAGTCCGAGTTGTCATTTGCTTTTCCCATGAATGTGAATAAATAGTTACATACTTTGATGCAAATATTTGATCGGTTGGTGTAATATTTAACTTCGAGATTAAAGCAACATTCTAGCTGTATTATCAAAATATCATGAATGATGAACAAAATCCTCTTTCACTTTACAACGTGTAGGGCTTACATATATATTTAGAGTGCGTCCCAGAAAAAACGTAACCGAGAATTATCGATGTTTTTTGACACATATTTCGAGATGTTATTATGTTTTGTGGAAATCTGTATGTGTTTGTGTGGGGTTTTTTTCGCTTGTGTGTACGTTTGTGGTACTGTTTTTATGTTTTTAATATAATTTTGTTTAATTGTGGTCCTGTTTTTATGTTTGTAATATAATTTTGTGAGATTGTGGTCCTGTTTTTATGTTTGTAATATAATTTATTTGATTGAAATGAGGGCTGAGGGCCCAACCAACTGTAATTCCAACAGCAGTGATGCGTTCTGAAGAGCAGGCAGCAGTGGATTGAGGGGCAGAACACTAGTTTATAAAGCCAATGGCGACAGTAGCGGCTCCTACGAGCGTCTACCGCATTTTTACACGGCGCTTTTGCACAAAGTAAGCAACCGTATGCAACCGTAAGCAACACTACGCCAGGTCTACGTAAGCGTACGTAACCCTACGCCCATTGCATACGCCGTAGGTACGCGGTTCCTACGCACAGGGTACGTAACCATACGCCACCGTACGCCAGCCTACGCATAACCTACGCAGGGACTACGCCGAAGCATCATGTTTTTCATGAATACGCATCCTAACTTAGGCGTAGTCGGTACACAACACTACGCAACTCTACGCAGATCCGGTGTGAAAGGGGCTTAAAATTTGTACATCCTTATTATGAAATGGTGATTACAAAAGTTTGTCTTTGGCTAATTAAAACAAATAAATTACAATGAGAAATAATCATTAAATGTGGGTTGCTTTTTTATCAGTAATATTATACACGTAGATCATGAAAATATATTTTTGATTCAAAACATGAAAGCCTGAAATGTTGCTAAAGTGTAAAGGAGGTTTCACTTCATTCCCATTCAAAACATATCTGTTTTCCAGTTTGAATACTTTTTGAAAAAGTACCCCAATTCAAATTGGTGAACAGTGACCCCCCCCCCCCTCCCATTTTTTAGTTTGCTTGCTTGCTTGTTTTGAAAAATTCATAGTCGGCTAACTTTTCATCAATATGTGTATACGAATTCTAGCGACATCACCAGTGTTACCATTGAAGTTGACCCAGTAAATGTATTTTCATAATAACTAAAGTATAAAATATCGACATAATACTAAAATACAGAAAGCAAGCCGATAAGGTTAATAAGTTTTAATTCATATATTTACAGACTTTCCTGTAGAATGCATCATTCATGAAGAAAACACACAAACATAGCTTAATCTCTAAATAATATACGCCCCTTTTAGTATGTAAAGAGAAGTAATCAAACATACTTATCAAAGATCATATCAAAATCAATTCTACGTGTCAGAAAAAATTCCATACATGATTATAGAATATGTCTATTTACAAAATATATACAGACAGTTTCAATATGTTCACATTTACAAAACTTGATTACTTCATATTGTACGTTTTAGATTGATTAAACTTTAACAAAGCTCTCTTACTTATCAACCATTTTTAATGATTTTGTTTGAATACCTGATCATTGTAAATATACATGCTAATTAAGACAGAATAACTTAGATTATAAACTCCGTCTATTCATTAGTATTAGAAAGCATAACAATCCTGATAGAGATCGTGCTCTGAATCTTCCGAATAGAATGCACTATAAACACATTAAAAACAAACATTACAAAAATCAAGCCCAATTTTACCACGGTTTATTATTTTCTTACAATTAAGCTCAGGGGTCACAAGTACAAAGTGAAACGTCTTTCCAGACCCTTTACTATTTATTTCTCCAAGATAATATTATCTTCTGGTTTCAATATTGGCCCTATTTTCCGTACTCAACCAGCCTATATACAAATATCTTTTTGAGTAGACAATTAGAAAATATAAACAGCATCATAGATTATAGTTTCTTTACACATCTGCAATAATAATACAAAATTTACATTTTTTAAAGAATTTTATAGCAGTTCTTTCGCGATCTCACCCGATTTGAAATTGAGAAATAAAGCCATTAAAAATAAACGAGGTAGCCTAATCATTGTATGAAGACATTTTTGTAGTTCATAATACTTTCTGTTCTTCAAGTTATCTGCTAAAACCTCTGTGGTCAGAAGTGCAACTAAATATTTATTTTAATTGTGTTCACAGTAGCCTTATTGTTTTTGTGTTTTTACATTCTGTGGACAACTACTCACAATTTGCCTGGACGGAATATCATATAAATTCGTATTTTCACCGCTTCATTGACTGGGATATGCTCAGTGAGTAAGACATAATGTTTTATACTTTTACAATCTATGTTCAACATTAAATAATTGTATGCAAACAAAAGTCTTAAATTCAAGTCGAAAATATGATTGTCCATGTTTCCATAGATGATCAAGAAATTGGTGAAGTCGTATGATCAAGAGTGCTAATAATTATGTTGGTTTAATAATGTTCTTCAATGTTGTTGTGGCAGTAATAAATCAGCGTTTGGATATCCTACTTGAATATAAATCGTGTCAGGTCAGAAGAATATCACCATGTAGCTTGCAGGAACGCCATGCTCGTTGCACACGGGGCGTCATTTAGCTGACGGAAGACTGCGTCAGCGGCTGTCCAGGTTTCTGACGCGCCATATGACAGTTAACTTGAGCAAGCAGTGAATGTGAAAGTGGAAACATCGCAGAGATTTACTGGCACATGCACCAACTGTTTTCATAGGCTCGATTAGCGTATCGTAGTAACGTTTTCGTGTGCATTTGATTTCTCTTTGCACACGAAGCGTCATCTTATTCAGAACAGTAAGCATAAATGCACAGGACATATCATGACCGAGTTAAAACAACTAGTTGCAGGGAAGCGATAGCGAAACGTTGAGGATCTTGCACGGAATTAGCGCGGACGGAACACTAGAGTAGCAAATAATTGGATTTACATGAGCTAGTGAATGTAAAGCGATTTGGCGTAGTGGAACGACGGTTCGTGTGCAACGTGCCGTCAATTATAGTAGAAGCGATCACCACGACGTCACATCTTTGAGTACGGCGGTTGCTGTCTCAATTGCATGCGTCAAAATAGCGACTTGTTGTGCCACTACTTTCCAGCGCCTCTCTTGGTCGGAATCCTGGAAGATCTTATGCAGTGCGTCAGCGATGCCGGGGAAGGGTCCAACTTTGTCGGCGCTAGACTCTGTGAATCTTGGCGAGAACAACACGTGCCTGTTGAAGTTTAAAGGTGGTAAATAGAAGTAAAATTATGAAAATTTGACGGTTTAAGGCTTTGGTTATTAAGTTGAAGTTATTAACCATTGACCAGCCCATGAGACCAACAGAGCTCTAGACGACCAACGTCCCGCGATATCGACAGCCCACGAGACCGACAGCTCACCAGACCGATGACCAGTAACATTGCCATTGACCGGGGAACAATATTGTCGGTCTCAAGGCCTTTTTAAAAGTTATGAGATGGTCTATCTGCGGGCCTCCTTTAGGGTTCACTCACCTGACATCGTTAGTCACGTAGCCTATCGAATTTACTGGGATGTCCCTCTTCACCTTGTTCTTCTCCTTCCTCATCATCTTCTTCTTTTTTAGTAATCTTCTTCATCATCTTCATCTTCTTCCTTATCATCTTCTTCTTCTTTTGTATGTACTAATCTTTTTTATCCCTGTATCATTGTTACTGTGTTTGAATTTTACATCTGTTCTTTTCTTCATGCCTCCTCCTCGTTCTCACACCAAAAACACTACAGTTCTTCAGGCAGCGAATACAAGTTATTTTGTCTTTAGGCGGGCGAGTCTAACTATTTTGTTAAAATTAGTTTTTGTTTGGAAACTTATTTAAACTTACAATACCCTCTTCTGTTTACAATATATAGGATAATGTGAATAAACGAAATAAGTCATCTTCAAGTTTTAAGATGCTATGAATAATTAGGTGGTTAAGGGGAACAACGGAAGCATACATACCGATCAAGACGGTTGTCCGGAAGCTCCTTGATAAATGCCTTTTCTAACTGCATCATCTGGTCATTAATCTGCCGCACTGCTGATGGACTAACAAGTTTTTAAAAAAGGAGAACAGAAACGAAATCATAACAGAAACCGCTATTGAGAAGAAATAAAGGAGAGAGTACCGCCCTTATCTTAGTACTACAAGTTATTGAAGAATAAATGGGTTTGCTAGCAACTTGGAGTGATACAAACTTTCAACAATAAATCAAATTCAGTCAGAATACAACTGTCCTGTGGTCTCTTCATCTACAATTTATTGCACTGCTTAAATCAATATACTTGAAAGATTATGACATTAATGAGTTCCCAAGATGAAACCAAAACATAAAAAATGACTTGTTTACAACAAATTGTTTGTGTACATGCTTTTGAGAAGATTAAAACTTTTTTGAATTTGACTTCACGTGAATTTAAGAAGGAACTAATTCTTCATATAACCTTTAATGATATATGTGTTCAGAATTCCCTGTAAAGCAGATATTTCATTAAAATAGGGCGAATCTTTTCTAAAGGCATTGCGACACCATCTTAAAAGAAAGGTAATGGGGCTATTCGGAACAACATACCGACAAGTCTACCGATAATTTCTACAAACAAAACGAACAAACTGGAAGTTTTTTTAAATTGCTTTCTAGGAACAGAACAAAATTTTTTTTTTAATTGGCATAGGATGGAGAGTACAAACAGTTTGCACACTAAAATTGAATAAGGGTGCCACACATCCACAACCCTCTCTACTTACGCATCTAGTCATTCTTTGACAATCTATAATAATTGTTTACTTTGAAACAGACAAATTAACAATGTGGCCATACATGCAATACACTTAAAGTAGATTTTTGAGCATTATCGTACCTGCTTTTATTAACGTGGTTTACTCTTTTCTGGAAATCCGTGCAATTTCCAACAAATTCAACCACTGCTTCCTCAAGACGTTCTGAAATAAAAGATGATTTTTAAAAATTACGCAAATTCATATTTGACATGACGACGAAGTCATTCAGAAATAGCCATGTATGGTCACTTATCAGCTATGAGGAATAAATCTGAAAAAAAAATAATAACAGGCTAATTTGGTTTAGAAAAATTGCAACACGTTTCCTCACTTTTTTTCTCTCATCTCATCAATAATACTAAAATATATTGTTTTTTTCTAAATTTGTTGAAATAATTTGTATGTGGGCAAAATGAGTTCACATTGACAATCAGGGCCGTATTTACGGAATGGTCTTGCACTGCCGACAGGGGGCGGATATGCACAACATGCAGCCACTGTAGCAGTGTCAAATCAGGTGTATCAAAGAATTTTTTGGCGGAAAATATTGCTAGATCTTATACTTTGCTGGTTTATTTATTATCTTATGTGTAAAATGATAAGATGGGCTGACAATAACTCCCCCATCAAATATATTTTTTGTTTGTTTTGGGGTGATTTTTGTTTAAATAGTTTGATGCATATGCGCCCTCTATCGGATGTTGAGTCAACAGCGACAAAACGCTATTTTCTGCTATTATAGTAGAACATCAAACCGGGTGGTTTTGAACAATAATTATAGGTGATATGTGCTAGACTGACAAGACAGTCCAAGCTTTACCAAGTGAGATTCCATGATCCTGAAGGTCTTTCGATGCGTCGCTAAAATGTAAGTCGAGCCACATGGAAAGCAAGTCTCTTGAATAAAGGTACACATCGAATGGCAACACCAATGAATCGGCTAGTATTCGGGCCATTTCGGCAAATGTTCGGGTAGTGGCGAGATGATGCGAGTAATCCGGATCAATGAATTCCTCGACCAATCGGATTGTTTCGTATGACGTGTGGTATAACGAGTAGAAGCTTCGGTTGAATGTACCCTGTAGTCGTTTAAAATTTAAAATGAAGTATATTGATAATGAAAATGACGTTATCTATCTTTGCATCTTTCATGATCCAAATGAAAATTAACATAATATGGACTTCAAGAAAGTTACCAATCGTAATAGTAGGCATAATGCTCACAAAGATGGATATCAAAGAAAACAAATTGATGGTTTTATTACACCCAGTTTGGGAAAGGAAAATGCTACCATTAAGCTTAGTCAGATATCTCAAATTATTAATGATTATCATAATATTATTAATGATTTGGTCTTATTTACCCAGGGTAGCCACATTAATTTATTTAGAACGCTCTTCATGTGAGCCTGCAATTACTTTCTCAACTCCCATGATATGTACTCATTTAATACCCCTGGGTAGACAGGGACAAATATGGGCAAAACGGCTTGTACAGGCATGTAAGCACCAAGCAAAGATCGAATCCGGGACCCCTCGTAAACTATTCAAGGGCCTTTACCAATATACCACGGTGATTAACATTTCATAGAACATTTAAAAAATTAGGTGCAAAAAAGATTATTAATTCAATATAATCATAATAAGGATTAAATAGGGGACGTACATAAAAGATCATGATGAATGGCACCCCTAATCTCATAATGAAACCCCGATGATCACTCGCTCCGGCTGTTCTTCTTACTCTGGAAAGGAAGACAAGAGGTAAATGGAGAGAGAGAGAGAGAGAGAGAGAGAGAGATAAAAACAAATCTTTACATTTGAAAAAGTAAACTTTATGCTTGTTCATGCTTTAAACCCCGCTGCACTACTTACAGCTTCTTATGCCCTCTATATAGCAAACAATGCATAATTGGTGACCTCTGGTCCCCCATACTCCCCTTTTTCTTATGTTAATTGAGAGCTGATGTGATGGGATAACCACCTGCCAGTGACCTCGCTGGGTGGTCTGATCCCTCCTGGCCAAACTAGTGCAGACGGGCTTTAAGGAATTATTCACAGGAAGTGGATTTGACACATTATGTGAAAGACCAAGAATCTGATGAAAAGGGTATATAATGCAGAGACTGAAGCGAGGGGTGAGGGCGGCAGTAATCTCTACACAATTTTTGTCTTCTCTCCATTGCACTTTCACACCCCTTCACGCACTTTTTCTCACACACAAACACACACACGCACTGATAATCGCCAATTGTTAACATGAGTCAGAAAGCATATTAGGAATCATCTTACATTGCATTACAATTTCAAGGCGACATTTTCTTACAGCGGTCTATGTGGATCCAGAGAATCCGGCACTCTTTCAACCATTGCATCATAAAGGGATCTTCCATTATTTTCGGGATCTGGAACCTGTGAATATAAAAATGTATAAACCAAACAAAATCTATATAAGCTTGAGAAGTTGCGTGAGACCATCTCTCAGTCTCTATGTCTCCCTGTTTCAGTTTCTTTCTTTCTCTCTCTCTCTCTCTCTCTCTCTCTCTCTCTCAATCTATTTTCCTGCATACGCCTCACATCTCAAACATCAACAACATTAATATATCATTCACACTAACGAGACCGATGCCAGGCCGACTACAGACCGAACAACATATTACAATACTCCTAATTTTAGAAAATAATCGGTCGGTTTGGATTCAGTTTGGCGGTGGAACTGAGGTATGACATTATGTACCGTTAAGAACGTCAAATTACATTAACATCACCAGCACAATTGTATTATCTGATATGCTATACATAAATTTTCAAGTCATAAAGAACGAAAATTAAATAAACATTTATTGAAAATGAGAATTTCAGATACATTTATTTATGTTTGACGTGAAGTCACGGCATTAAACTTGTATTATAAGGGCAGATATCAAAATGAAAATTATATTTTGAAGATACATTATATAACTTGGCTGTACCTTTTTCGTAGCAGCATAAACCACTGGCCGTAGATGAGGTGAAGCTGATGTCCACAAAACATAGTTTCCTAAGTATAGGTAAGAACAAACTTGTTAGTAACTAAACAGTATTGTCGGTCGCTTAATTCACAGCTTAGAATATTCAATTATTTTCAAATATAAACCAAATGAAAATCTGATTTTCACAGTGAACACTGCAGTATATTCGAATACCTCAATACAAACGAGACCCAGTTAATACTATTTTGAAATTTTTGCTGATTTAACCAAAAGTAAACAGTTGTTTCCAATGACAATTATGTTGATAACATTTATGTATAACTTCTAGCACTAGCGATCGGAGAAACTCATGTGTTTTCCATCAGAGATCAGGTAATGACACGTGATGGCGCTATTTTCTATTCCCCGTCAGAGCCATTTATACACAGAGTTTGGCAAACTTTATTTAATTTGGTCACCACGTGGCGTATGTTCGTTTGTTTTGCGCTTGCCCAACAAATTAAGCAATATACGCCATACTGTGCCCGACTCGAACCGGGTTGTCCAAACTCCCCCAATCAATGACACCGACACCGATTAGAATAGCAGCGTGTAAATATAGGTTATCCAATTCCTTCATTTCTGTTTCAAAACTTGACTGTTATTTATAAACATAGACATAGAATAATGAAATATAAGGATTATCCATATATGTGTGTAAATACTGTGTACTTACCTGCAACAGCAATGTCCAAATTGAGAAAGGCTATAGAACGATCAGCTAAAAGACGGTTGAATTCCTTTAAAAAAGAAGGGGATGATATGGGGTGAGATATTTTATATTCTTTATCCATTCTTATTTTATTTTTTTAATTGATTGTACGTAATCTCCAGCGGTATTACTATTAGATTATTTTAATATTCCCGTTTTTACAGTGACTTAGCTACGTTGGCCGTATCCTCGGAGTTGAAAAGGTAACTGAGAAGTTATCATGAGTGCCCACCAGACTTTTCATTTGCGAGGCGGCAATTCCCCTTCGCACTTCATCTACTAATTATAACCAAAACGAACATATATGACATATCTGAATTTATTTTGCGATTGATACGGTCATCGGAATCATTCACGCACAGTGGGCTCCATCTTCAATCCCTAGATGCTCTCACCATACGGTCACAGTTAAGGCATATGGTAATTAATTACTATCATCTTGCTAAGTCCCTATTTCTCCATCGGGTATGGAGTAGCAAAGGTAAATATCAAATGCCAAAGAACACCGATGCCGTGCCGGGGATCAAACTCACGGGCCCGAATTCACAAAGGAGGTTTGTCGACAAACCTTGGTTTTCGTACGTCATATGACGCGTTTTACGCGTTTTTTACAAACCTGGTTTGTAAAGAACAAAAGGAGGTTTGGCGAAACAAAAGAAGGTTTGAGCTCAAACCTTGGTCTGAGCTCAAACCTTGCTTTGTGAATTCGGGCCACGACCTTTGCATTCCAAGTTAAGTGTCCACACTACTCGACTACGACACCTTATACCGAAAGCCCCATCGCTTCCAATGACTGAAGAAGACACTCTTCGCCACTTCATATATATTGATATTGATCGGGTCTATTTACGTAAATTTATTATCAAAAGTTTTTAATCTATTTACAGGATTTTGAAGTAAAATCCTTCACAACACATTCCAAATCAATGTAAAGGATTTCTGAAGTCTTATTCATGGGAAACACGATTTTAAAATGAAAAGTGAAATGTCAGGTTTACCTCTGTCCATTCAATGGAGCCGATTAACCCGTATTCCTCAGCAGCAAATGAGCAGAATATAATTGATCTCCGCGGTCTCCATCCTACAAATGACAAAAAGATGTCTTAATATAACTTTCGAATCATACATCTGAGATAGCCGTACACCCGAAGAAAGTAGATCAAAGTATAATTTAATGAAGTTATTGTTCTTACCTCCAGGTATTTTTTTTTAGGAAAGAGCTTGTTAAGACAAAATAATTGAAAAATGAGCTTTGTTGAGTGCTAGTAGATCAGTGTGATCCTCATTTTTAAAATATAATAATATTACCATGAAAATAATGGTAAGGAGGAGATGATGTGCGTTGGTTACGGGCAATATCTAAGTGATTAAATTATCATTATTAGAAATAGCTAAACGCGTGTTCGGTAGTAAATAATATATAACAAAATTGGCAGATAATGCGCAAGAAAATCATCAATTAAGCTTGGAAATATTGATCCAGCTTAAATTAAGATTTAAAAATGTGTTTTCACTTTCTTGTTACGTCATTTACAAATGTATTCAACTTTTAAGTTAATTTCTGGAAGTAATTTGTTATTTATTTTTAAGAAGAAAAATACCTTCTTGTTTAAGTTTTCCAAATGCTCTTGATACTTCCATGAGTGTAGCCGTCCCACTGGTAGGATCAACAGCTCCAAGAGCCCATGCATCACGGTGGTTGCCAAGGATGACGTAACGATCTATTTTTAGAAGTGACGTAATACCAGATAAAATGTTGGTAATTTTAAGGTGATTTTTATAACTTGCGTTTATTTGTAATACTGTGCTGTTCTTTGCAGAGAACACGAATAAAAAAAGTTTTTTTGGTGGTATTTACTGTGGTGTACATGAAAGTGATTTCTGTTAAAATAAAGTTTAATAACCAAATGTGAAAAGCAAGTATTATTTGAATTGTTCATATAACATAATAAATATAATGCATTACATTTCTTGAGCTCTTTTAAACTTTCCCGTCAACAAATTATTCACTTCATCGTTTTATATATTTGCTACATTCACGTGAGAACCAAACACAACATTGATTTTATCTGCATGTTGAAATAATAAAAGTGGAAGAACTCATATTGTACAGAGTTTGATGTTCTGTCTTTCATCGACTGATCTTCCCTTTTAAAAAAAATTCATCTTTATCACACTCACCAGGCTCAATCTCTCCTCTTATGAACCCTACTGAGTTGTATGTATAGTGATGAGCAGAGATGGAGTTTACTACTAGCCTCACTTTCCTGTACAAGAAAAGTAAAATGTTCAGATAGGTTACGCTCCATGAAACAAATACATGGTCATCAGCCAAAATATGTATCATTTGATTGGATGAACTTGTTTATTATTCATTTGAATATTTACAAGGACCTGATAAATCATATCTGCAGTTTACTTTCTGAAGTTTGAAAATATGACAGAAACATTACGTGTGCCTTGTTTTGATTGTCAAAAAGATTACTTGATTGAATCTTTCTACAGCAAGTACAAGATGGGATACAATGGCTTATAGTAAATTATTTTGATCGCCTTTGAGGGAGAGACTTTATCATCCTAGAACTGCTATGTGGCGATGGACTCGCAAACGGTATCAATTTTTTCGACGTACCTTGAGATCTTTTTGATTTGCATGGTATGTTGTGTTAAAATTACACAGACAACGTGTAACGGAGTAAATATTACATTAGTATGAAGTGTGACACTCTTTCTTACATTCCTCTGTAAGGGTCTTTGAACCCAGGACCCACTTCGTAAATTGTCTCCGGATCTCTGTTCCATCCTTTACCGGGCTGAGGACCCGTCAACGCACTACAAATACGAAAAATAGGCTGATGATATTGATTATTTGTTTGTTTGTTTTGTTTTTTCATTTCTGCGTTTTCAAAATAGAACATAATCATAGGCCTATACATAAAGTAACAATTATATTTCATTATACATAATTATACATTTTTAAATACATAAAATAAGATGCATACAAACACACATATTTTTCAATGAAAATAGATAAATTACAACAAACGCAAGAGACCGCCATCATGAGCGGTAAGCTTGAAATCGAAAACTATGGATATCAGTAGTTTAAGATGCACATCATGTGAACAGTTAATACAATGTCGCCCTAGAAAAGTAAAATCCCGGTATGTTTGATTTAGTTTTTATTAATGTATATCAGATTTTACGAGGTAAAACATACATTACTGTCCATGTTATTTGAGTAATTTATTATTAGCTAAATGTAAAGAAACGTGAACAAAAACAGTATTTTGTTTTGAGCATTTTCTGTAGGTTCATTTGCTACCAAAACTGAACCACTTGGTTCTTGACATACATGTTTTGATGATATTGATAGTAAGTGGTATAGTTTTAGATTTTGTTTTTATTCACAATTATTACAAATGAAGAATCCTCACCTTAAAAGTATTTCTGCATCCCCAAATCCGATTGGATGAACAGGTATCTTCGTCATTGAAGTATCATTCAATTCTGATCTGTATGCAAAATCTTTAATAAAAAAACAAATAGTTTTAAAAAACTACGTAGACAATTTGCTCAATTTATAAACATAATGTAAGAAAATAAGCGTCATTATATTTCCACTTTGTTATTTAAATTACTACTGTTTACAGTACGGACTGCTTGTTATAAAATTTTGGATACATGCATGAGATATCGAAAGTAGTGTATGGCAATCAAAAGGATGGGAAATAATCAAATCGCTATAGTCAACGAAATGTCTGCGAAAATACAGACGTGCACAAGTTATAGCTTGATAGCAAATTCAAATGCACTCATAAATTGCAATTTCCGTATTGATTATGCACATAATCAACATGCAATATCCTGTTCGATTATTTTTGAATTCTGGCCTAAATCATATCGATGCCTTTATTGTAGGAAAATTTACATTAAAGGGAAAGTCCACCCCCAAAATAAGTTTGTTTCGATAGAGGCAGAATAATAAGAAAATCAGGTGAGTGAAAGTTTGAGCAAATTCTGAATGAAAATAAGAAAGTTATGAATTATTGAAGTTGTGATCAATCAAATACAAATTGGCAACTCTGTGACTTATTATACGAGCTCTCCTGCATTTGCTTTGTGCATAATATTCCATAAAATCATGTTTTCTTCGTTATTGATGACGGAATATATATTTGGTCCTTGCAGGGGGAGTATAGAAACATATTTGCAATTATTATACTTAGGGTGCATGTATGGTTGAAATTTTTCTTGAGGGAAAAAGACAATTTTAGATTTTTTTAGTACTGAGCAAATGGAAGTTGAGCTCGCATGATACGTCATAGAGTTGCCAATTTGTGTTTGATTGATCACAACTTCAAAAATCCTAACTTCCTTATTTTTAATCGGAATTTGCTCAAACTTTCACTGACTTGTTTCTCTCATTTTTCTACTCCTATTAAAACTAACTTAATTTCAGGGTGGACTTCCCCTTTAACAACATCGAAATGCATCACATTCTCGTACCGAATAGACGAAGAACATAAATATATTTGTTTAGAAAAAACAGGCACACAAAAAAGGAAAGTCAATATTTGTTTTATAGCAAGATTTTAGTAGGAGCCATTTTTTGGTTTTACCTTTAGCGGGATAGCCAGGAGTCAGCGGGTCCCCAAAATCTTTCAAGATCGACCCTCTCTGTGCCGCACTCTTTGGTAGAAATGACCCTCTGGGATAGGGTATACCATTATGTTGGGAGCCATACGTAGGCAGATCGTGAGGGTCGGAAAAGAGAATGAGACCAGCGGCTCCGAACTTCTCAGCGTTCACAACCTGTACCAAAAAGAGATATGTAACATTTGCAAATATCCAGAAGGATGCCATAGTTATATTAAGGGGTATGATTTAGTGCCTTTTCGCTTTCATCAGATCAATTCCTAAGTTCGTTATTAAACGAAAAATGTATCTGTTGTTATTAATTCAAATAAATTAACCGAATATAGGTTCTGCGAGAAACAAAATTCGTACAATTCTGCTATTCGAAAAACTTGCATAAATATCAAAGATATATGTATTTGTCAAAATATTGTGATATACACATGAAATTTAATTTATTTTTAATTCCCAGTAAGATTTCCAACAAACATTAGAAAAAGACATTGGAAGTCTTTAATTTGTATACAAAGGTAAAATGAAAACTCCACGATTTGTAGTATTACATGCAAAAGCTAAAGAAAAACTCAATAAAATTAACATCAAAGAAAAATACCAGAACACAAAACAAGATGCTACCACCATAAAGATTTCTGCGGGCTTTATACTTTAAATGTCTTTGTCTGGTTTTCGCCTCCTTCCGTATCTGAATTATTTACTGTATATTCTATGTTTAAATAATTGTTACATATATAATTTATATATACATTGTGTTTCATATTGTACTGTTGAGAAGGAAATGAATGTTAATAAATCCAAAAATTTACCTTGGTGTTTCTCCCCGTCATGCCGTATTTTGCGATGAGGATTTTCCCCTTGAAGTTGATGTTGGTGGTTAGATTCTGAAGATACTCATAGTCCTCCAGTCTGCCGTAGTTGACGTAGACCAGGTCCCCCTGGATATGAGACATACAAGGGTGAAGCACGGTGGCGAGTGAGATCACATGGGAGGCACTCTTTTTTCAGGAGGTTCGTTTTATGAAGGTTCGGATAATTCAGAAGAGTCAGTAATTCAGAAACACATTTTCCCATACTAGGAAGATCTTAATTCCGAACATTTGTTACGTTATTTCGGAAGGTTCGTTTTTCCGAAGGATCGTAATTCCGAAAGTGAAATGAGATTCATTATTACGGGGGTTCGGAATCGCGAAAATGAAATAGAGTTCATAATTCCGAAAATAAAACAGGGTTCTTAATTTCGAACGTGAAATGGGGTTTCTTATGCCGAAGGTTCGAAATTCCGAAAAACGATACAGGGTTCTATGTCATTTTTTGAGTAATGGCCCCTAATTGATTTCAGAAATAAAAAACTTCGGAATTATGACCCTTCGGGAAAAAAGACATGTAACCGATTAATTAATAGATGGGCACGTAGCCAGTGTATATGTTATTTGTAATTATGGACGATTTAATTTGCCCTTTTATTTTTTTTTTGGTTTTACTTTGTATGCGTTGTTTAAAATGTGTTTCGTACTTGTTCACCACAAATGTGCTGAGGGCACGGTACAAGAACAAATTATTGATTTGATAATTTGTGTTTGCTACGCATTCCCAATCTAAATACAATGGATCGTTCTTTGTTCAAAAATGTGCAGATACCCCTCCCCCCCCCCCCCCCATTTAATTGGCGAATAATTATGTCATACATAAGAAAAATGAAATGAAATACATTAAAAGTATCATTTTTCCCCTTTAATATCACGATCCAGTTAACTATAATTTCCAACCTCAATTCTAGAGTATTAAGCCTACGCACTTGAATAAGCTTTATTTTGCAGGAGACCTTTGATAGACTTAACAACTTAACCTTTTTGGATCAGTTCTGCTTTTAGCATTAAACATCACGAAGTTCAATCACTTCACTTTTGTAACTTTGGATAGCTTAATCAGGAAGCTGTAATGAATGGAGATCCCGTCCAAGAGGCCCCTTTGAAGTCATCCGTGGCACCGCGCGTCTTTTGTTTCCCCTACCGTAATCCCCTTAATCCCCCTCCAAAACCTTACAGCTCCCTAGTAGCACTAAGTCCTCCCTTTCCACACACAGCCCAGCCCAGCGAGCACGGCGGCTTTTGCTTTGCCGGCCCGTACTTTGGGTGAATAGTGGTGCTAACTTGACAACTTCTAGCCCTAAATCAATAAATGCGCAAACATATAACACAATTTCATTTAGTTCTTTAGGAAGATAAACCTTTGGACTACCTTCCTAGCTATGTACAAATTTCGGAAATTTTCGGAAAATGTCAATAATTAGATGAGAAAATCATGATTATGAAAATCTTTCATTCGCTCTAACTCATGATTTCCTTGGTCGATTTCGCTGGTTAAAATGGCCATGTCTTCAGTAGAGCTATCCGAGAACGGAAAACGCATTTGATGACTAATAGAAAGTTGCATTGATCATAATGTTGTGAATTCTGCATTTTATATGTTATAGCTAAATACATCTTTCATGAACATGACTTAATTTGTCGGTGCCACGCATGGCTTCAAAGCCCGATGCTTGCATATTTTTGCAAACGAGTGAATAGAGAACTTAGGGAAGCAGATGGCGTTGCGTAACATTTCGTACTATTTGGAATGCCAGAGAGGGACTGTGCATTGATATGGACAGCTGTTGATGGAAATGATGGCTGGAGAGGGTTACATTTCTTTTTGTTAAGCCAGGTTAATCTTGAATAATTTTCCCTCGGAAAATTCTTTCGAGACGGTATCTCCATTCATTACAGCTTCCTGGGTTAATGCTAATCTTACATTTGGACGGGCGTATGTGAGTGTGTGGTGCGTGTGTGTTGTGATGATGGGTTAGTGTTGTGTGCGCGTGTGTCTAGTTTGGGTTGGGTGTGTTCACGAAACGTAAGGAAACACAGCGCTCCATTGTGAAACACGCGCGGTAACACAATTTTCACAACGAAGATTGGATAATTTGACACCTAATCTATAGCAATTTAGAGGCCTGGAAAATAGGTGAGGTGATTACTTCCGATGATCGTAACAGTGGTTCTAAATATTGGATGATGCAAACCTTGTCTGTTTTTAGGTAAGCCCTTAGAAACTTCTAGCAAGATCGCTTTACTTTTAGATGAAAAACTGCAAGATACCAACAATAATATCACCCTTATATTTCCACTCGAGTTAAGCACGATGGAGTTTTTAAAATGTGAAAGACAAAGGACTTCCCCCCAAGTAAACTCGAACTGTTACCGCATGTTTGATGACACAACGGTGACACAAACGGTTTTAAGAATCTCTATCTACATTTATGCAGAGGAGTAGATTAAAGAGACACACACAAAATAGGAGAAAGGAAAAGGGCAAAGGTCTTTAAAAGATGATGAAAGAATCCTTCCTATAAACCCTATCTGCCCTGTTTATTCGACATGTCGAAAACAATTTGTCACTGGCGTATTAACACCGTGTGCTCTTGGTAAGACCTGGTAAACTCATCAAATAATTGAGAGCGTTGAAGCAAAAAAAAAATGTTTACGCAAATGGTAAAGGTTTTAACAGCGTGGTCGGTCAGATTGGTGAAAGTTTGGGTGGGGAAAAGATGGAACTGTTGATCCAAGGTATTCCAGGTGATGTAAATGGGTGCCTAGCAGGAATTAATTCCTTGAAATGCTAGAGCGCCGTAATGGCAGCACAGCTAAAGCCGGTGTAATAATTTCCAAAATTTGTTAAGGCGCCTTGAGCATCCCTTGGTGTGGATATTGTGCGCATTATAAATGTTGTTATTAGTATTACTATTATTATGATATACGTTTACTCCGCGTCGTTGGCCTTTTTTAATACGTTATCGATACATAACACATTTTTTTAAATGTCTAAATAATAAACATCAAAATGTTCACATATACAGAACGTTTGACAATTGTCTTGAATATGTATACCACACGAATGATGACCATGATGATGGTGCGTGATCGGATGATTAATGAGAACTGTAGAAGGTATTTCAAAGGAATAGCTACCGTTATAGTAATCATCAAAGACATGTGGTCGTTCAGAACTTGTTGCAAGTTACGGGGCATAATTTTACACAACTCTGCTCATGTAATATGTGTGATCGACATACCACTATATTGGGGTACAGTTTCTGATTGCATATTACCTTGAATTTATTTGGCCAGTACATGATCTGGGGACTGTTTCACAAAGACTAAGGTTAACTTTAAGTTGGACTTAACTATGGCAGGCCGTTAATGCCACTGTTTGCTCTCACCATTTACTGGTATTGGTATCTCAAAGGACGTACAAATCATGGTCACAATCTACAGAATTTACATTTGTTGATAATTCACTATTGAAGGAAAACATTTTATCTAAAGATCATAATGGTGAGAGCGAACAGTGGCATGAACGGCCTGCCATAGTTAAGTCCAACTTAAAGTCTATCTTAGTCTTTGTGAAACACTCCCACGAACGTAATCAAGAGTGTCTTACCGTGACGTCACCGGTAGCTGAGTATGCGTTGAATGGTGGTGGGATGCCGTCCTGCTCCAGCTCCTCCTCTCCGAAGGAATCCTCACGCAAGCAGGAGGTGAACATAGCAGTCCCGTTACTCGGGTTAATTATCTGGACCTTTCGAACAAAATATAGGAGAAAGTTGAATGCATTTACACCGACTAACAATTCAGTGTAAATAGGCAATGTTCGTAATGCAATCAAATTGAATGCGTAAGTCTTTGTTAAGTGCCACGTTACAAGTTATTTCATTCACATGTAACGAATAATTGTATTTCGATAGTCAAAATGCGAATCGCATACATTACGTGATGTTAGGCAGGACAATTCATAATGTTTGTCCTACCTAGCAACAATAACTTTATACAATTCTCATTCTTACTATTGAAATAGAGTTTTTCGTAACACGTGAATGAAATTTTTTAAACAGGGCACTTAAAGATTTATGCATTAGATTACGATTGCATTACGAATATAGCCAATTACTTAGTTAAACTTGATATGGGTTTTTCTTTAAGACTCAAGGACTACAGAGGCCCAACGCAGTCGTTATGTTAGTGAAAGTGTTTTTGCTGAATATGTATAGAATAGAAACCAGTCTGTTAAAATTATTGATTTAAGCCTATTTTCTTGTTTCTTTTTTCTCAATTTATCCTTCATTTTATGTTTCATTATCACTAAATATGATATTCACTACCAGATTATACATGGAAAAAATCTATCTATTGACCCATGAATTATTTGAAATACAAGGAGCATCTTTTTCGATCTCAAAGCGATGATTGGAACATTGTACCGCTTGATTTTAACGATGATCTTAATTGCTTTTTCATTTTTTACGCCTTGGAGAACGCCCAATTAAAAAAACACTTTATCTCATATGGATATGAACTTATTTCAACAGCAATTTCATTTTTGCATGATTATTATATTTTTTTACCTATTTGATAACTACGCAAGCTGGATTACGTCCAACGAATTCAATATAGTATTTGAAATTTGACAACTCATTCAAGAAGTCAGATAGGGTTCAGCTTGTCGAATGTGTCGATTTGTCTATTTTCTTGGATATTAAAATATTGCTATGTTGAAAGTATTTAATAGGGACTTTTAGATTCTGCATGACGAGAACGCGGACTGCCCTTTTAAGGCAATGTGACGTCACTGCCAGTGCCTTAAAGGACGTCACATTGCCTTAGAAGGGCAGTCCACGTTCATTCGTCGTACAGAAGTCCCTATTAGGATTTCTCTCAGGTACAGGAGTTTTAAGAATGATTACCTTATTGGCAAGCTCATCATCGGCGGACGGAGGATGCTGTAGGTAAACCTTGTATGGGACCAGTCTGGCCGAGTCCAGGCCCTGGTCCAACCAAGTCTTGATGACATCCTGGGCCCCTTCTAGGTCGGCTGGAGTCCCTGCCACGTGAGGTTTGCTGGCGTAATGTCTGTCAAAAGAAAGTGTGATTTAACAAAAAGGTTGAGTTCTGATAAAGAGGAAAAGTAATTCGTGAGCTTTCTTATTATTTGAATGACCGTTGAGAAGAGGATCATAACAGAAACGTCTTCTGAAAAGGACAGCTCTTAAATGGAATCCTATTCGAAATAGGTCAAAAACAGTTTGGACCAAACTTTCAGGCCACACTTTTGTCTAGTTTCATTTAATACCGATATTGTTATGTGCAGTACATGTGACAAGATTGGGTCATTTCAATGAATAACTTGCAAACCTTACGTTCAATAAATTGTGATAATAACACTCGTGAAATGATATATTTTCTAATCTTCAGGTAATATTAATAAGTAAGGCGACAAGTCTGTTTTAAAGGAAAATTCTTTTATGAAGTCATGATTTTGGTTGCGCATTTCATGCGGAATTTGGAATTATATTCATACACACTAAACAAAAACATACACACGGAAATGAAAAGATTGCAAACTACAAAAAGTGCTTGCTTCTGGAACAAATATTCATTTTTCGTCATGCTTGTTTACAAATAGTTTGAAAAAGTCAAGTAGGCATTCAAATATCTTTCGAAGTGTATGCTATTAACCTCGATATGAATCAACTTTATGGTGAATCAACATCAATTCAGAACCAAATATGACTACTCTTTATATGGTTGTGTAAATTTGTCTTAGTTTCCGACTTCATATTCTTTATCATCTGTTTTCAAGACAAAAGAAAAATGTTATCAATTCCAATGAATGATATCCTTACGTTACGTCCTCTACCATTACAACTACTTCAACCAAATATTAGTTTTATTTATGGGAACCTATAATCTACAAGCTAAGCTTTTTAATAGGTTCCTCACATTTCACTCTGTATAACCTTCTATTCATTACAATTAATTTCGACGTCTTTTCAAAGAATTAATTATATAATGTGACACTTTTAGTATATTTCATATTATGTTCTATTTTTGTAAATTATGTTAATTATTTTTATTTGTGAAATGTGAAATAAACTTGAACTTAAACTTGATATCAACTTTATTTTCCTTTCAGCTTCAATAAAATTAATTAATGGTGAAACTACACGCTATTTTACTTGTTTTAATAGTACTTTCTCCTTATCCTTTCCCTTACCCTCCCCCTTTTACATTAATGTGACTCTAGTCAATAGCCATCATAATTATATGTGGTACTTATGTGGTAAAAATATCAGTGGTAATAGGTCATATTAGGCCAGAAATGATGATAGAAGATATTGATTATATTCAAAATGATAACATAATTGAAGGAATGTTAGTAATGTCATCAATTCAACAATGTGAATGAATAAAAAATGATATGAATGTTACTTTAATGAATCATCATATTTGCCTGTAGAAAAGAAAAAAGTCTCGACTGCGACATGACGGAATCTAATATAGGTATATCTGGGCAAGAGCCTTTAAATGTATCTTTGCGCCCTTAAACAATCTCATTTTGGTAAAAATAATATACTTATAATGGACAATTGTTCTTGTAAAAGTAAATGATATCATCTTTTGTGGGGGAAGGCAATTAAAGCGACCGATATTATTCACAAATGGAATAGAAGGGGCAGGGGCTCCCCATCCTTCGCAGAAGCGGGAAGGATAATGCTGGTGCTCTAATTACCATGGCAACTATTGGATTGCCTTCCCGCGCTCCCTAAACTTTTAAGCTGATTAATTTGGTGTTTGTGTTTGACTGCTGGTGGAGAAGCTTCCTATTAATCTCTGTTTACATCTACTAAAATATTTGCAAATCTATAATTGTTTTCATCAAGAACAATATCAATAGGATGAACATAATCAGTCTCTGTAAAATTATTCATAATCAAATTTCTTATCTGTTTATGCATGTTATGTAAACGTTAATTTTAATAAAAATACAGACAATTACTCTTACATGTCTGAAATAAACTTGCATTTTTACGTGCAGATAATTTATATCGCGGATGTGTGGGTGTGAGAATGTGCGCGAATGTGTGGGAGTGTGGGTGTGTGCATGAGTGCGTGTGAGCGTTAGCAAGGGCGTGTGTGTGAATGAATTGCTATTATGTAAATAGTGAGCGGGACTCTCTACTATCTACGAATGCGCTGTTCGAAAGATGAAGATGTACAGTTAAAACAGTTTAGTCAACCCTGCCTCATAAGCCATATATTCCCGTTTGTGTCCGCCCTCTAAACTTCAAGCCCTCTGTTAAGTAAAGCATATTATATGTCTTCTGCTCATACAAACAGAGGTAACTGTAGAATATTCTCCTTTTTCCGAAACCAGCTTGCATACAAAACGCGCGTTTAAGCACTTAAAGCTAATGCATCGTACAATATACGCCAGATGAAAGAAATATTTACCGAAGGGTTCGCTGCATTTATTGTCTGTTGGAATTTTCATTTTCTTGTATTAGGCTCGAGTGGAGGTTTCTGCTGATAACTAATTCATTTCAATTACAGAGGAATAGATTCGTCAACAGTCAATCTTGCCGAGAAAGTACGATCGTACGCGAATATTTTCATAAAATACCAAACGTTAAAGCCCGAACGGAGGTTTCCTCGGCCCCTGAAAAAAATGGCCGTTACATAAAGTTTAGTTAAAAATAGCAAAACGGTTAATTTAACAGATTTTGTTGTTTCTTTGTTAATGAGAAGGAGAAAATGGTGAATAAGTTTGTGTAGGCCTAGTGTCTGGCTGAATTATAATAACCTCCATTTAATTTGCATTAATATTTAAACCATTTGATTTTGAGCCAATGGCTGTCTGTAACTGAGATATGAATAGGATACCTCAAAAAATGCCCTGACAATAAATGACAATGATAATAATGATGATGAGGATGACAATAATGATGATAACAACAACGACCACAGCAACAGCAATAAGGATTTACTTACTTAGGGTAGCCTTATAATTATAAATTCTACTCTTTCATTGGGCCCTACAACCAGGGGCAGAGATCCCATTTTTTGTAGGGGGATCGCCCCCCCCCCCCCCGGAAAATTTGAACAAGTGCAAACAATTTTGTTTATAGTAAATACTAACTAAAGACTGCAACACACTTTTTGGTTCTGCAGGGCCCAAGAGAGCAGCGTTTAGACTAACAAAAATCTTCTCGCTAGGTCGCTACGCTCCCTCGCACGATATCCTTCAAAATGTAAAAGTAAATTTTGTTAGAAAATCTGTATTCCGTTTGTATATTATAGTTTTGCTAAGGAATGTAATTTTTTAATACACCAAAACTTCAAAAACCTGTGAGGGGGTAGTCGCTTCCGTCATCTTCGCCCCTCTCGTTCACTTTGCTTCTTCATGCCTAGCATCTCGTTCCCCCCCCCCCCCCTCGGACATGACAAGGAAATTGCCGCCCCTGTCTACAACTATCCTTCCTTTGTGTTAACAGGTACCCATCCTAGGGGACGATTGCGGGTAATAAACCTTGTCCAAAGATGTCTAACCCCCAAGGAAGCATCGAACCCCAAACCTCTCGCATGAGAATCAGGAGCCTGCACCAATTCACCGTCCCTGCAGTGTCTATATTTACATGACCTTATCTTTTTCTGTCCTACATTACACCCATAGTAAACAACTCATCAGTCAGCTTTATCAGCTTCCCAGTCGCAAAATCAAAATAAATATACAAATAGATCCGAGAATGCGCACTAATTTCACCTAGTTGTAAAACCCATTTCCCAGTCTTTGCATAAAGAGAGGAACCCTTTTCCGGTCTTTGCATGCAAGAAAAATGCCGCTTTGTGATCAATCATAAATATATGAAGCGGCGTAGCTACATGGAGTCCATGAGAAAACACCCACCCCATCAAATGATGAGGGGAGGGGGACGTGAATTTGACAAGAAGACACCGCGACTCCCTTCTACACCCCTCATCATAATGACCTAATCATAATGACTTCATGCATCGAATTACCTGGCATGACACTATTTTATCTTTTAAAAAAATATATAATTATTATTTAAAAGAAGCAAAAAATGATAACTACCACCAAAAAAAAGAGAAGTCAGTTGTATTATTACAAATGATTTTAAAAAAATATTTAAAAAAATTATTGGTGATAATAGTCAAAATTGAACGATTGCCATGATAACATTAACGAACAACAACAGTAATCCCCCTGCCCCAGTGGTTCTGGTCCCCCCATCAATGTGTTAACCCATGATACGCCATTGAATATTGTGTCTATCTATTTCCTCTAATACTAGTATATAGTGGACAAGCTAATTGCAAGGATCAGGCTAAGTACCATGTGGCTATGGTTCTTATTTTTATCGCACCTTCTGAAATATTCAAACATAATCGAGGTACCGGGGAAACGAGCGATGAGATAGGGACCTGGAGTTTAATTTCTAAATGTATTAATAAACAAAATGTATCATTACTCTGAAGGGAAATGGCTGGAAATATGCCAAATGAAATTTTATGTAACGATATCAAGAATTGCTTAATATAATGATATTCTACCAAACTGTGGTAGTAGCGGTAAATATAAGCATGACACTCTATGTGAAAAACATTTTATTTTTGATGGAATATATAGAACAGTTTAGCATGTTAAAGGTACTATGTCCCATTTGTAGTCCTAAAAAACGAAAAGGTTAAATTCCAACGGCATTTGAAAGATAATATTTAGAACTTCCATAAAAAAGGGTGGCTTGAAAATGTCTTTAAGTGGGAAAATAACGACTATAAGTTTTCGAATCGACTTAAGAGCTATAGAGCCAGTAACTAATACTCTGATTTTCAGACCATTGTACCGAATGGTCGTATGTTTTATGCTGCGCAAAGATTCAATCGGTTTAATTTTGGCCATTACAAGAAGTGGGTTATTGTTGTAGACAAATACACATGTACCCTTTACAGCTCATGATATGTATGTTATTACCAAAGAAGAAGAAAGGCCAGTCAGTCACTCAATAGTGTCTGACAGTGAAGCCTAGCAAGTAAACGGGTTTCCTTGCATAATTTGAATATCAGGACACTGCTAACGTTTACATTTCACAGATAGGACATACATGACATATTCATAATTCCTGAAAAGTTCTACAGAATTTGAAGTTGACTGCAAAAGGGACATAGTATCTTTAAATCTAGGGAGACATGCCAACTTAATATCATCTCTTAAGTGTGCATGCCGACAATTTATTCATGACAAGCACAACAATAACGTACAATCTCTTATTCATTTTAAGGGAATTCAGAGTATTTTCTGTGCTACTATTGATGTCAGAAATAGATTCGATAAATATTTTGACATTTCAAACCCCGATATGTTTAATAGAACCTTTGAAAGATAACAATTAAGTTTTTAGCTCAGGATTTCCAAACGATTTGTCTTAAGAAGTTGACAAAAGGTTAACAAAATATTAGATAAATTAACCTTTGAAATTAGGGGATTTGTCAAATCATATGTGGGCGTAACCTGTAATAATGAAATAATCATAGTTTATGTGTTAATCGCCCGATCAGTCATAAGCCGATAAGAGCAAAGAGCTTTATTTTGAGAATTTAATTGAGATTCAGTACTCCCTCGTTTTGCCTATAGTTACCTAGGCATGGTTTTATCATTGTTATCATTGAGTTAACCTTTTCATTACCACCCCGCTTTTGCCGAGAGTTCTTTTTGGGGCGTTTCGTTTGTTTTTTTGTTTGCTTGTTTGTTTCTATATTTGTTTGTTCGTTCGTGTTTTTCCCCTTTTTTTGCTTCCTGTTAATAAATACATGATGTGAAGAAAAATCTAAAAGGGTTTCAATATCTTTGGAACTACATTCCATGTATACAGTGGTGGATTAGAGATTCTTTGTCAAGGAGGCAGATCCGAATATTATCTTACTAGCCAACAAAAAAGAGTGTTGCCAATATTATTTTTGCCGTCATTTTTAATACTCAAAAGTTCTTTGACAAGATGAAAAAAAAGCGTTTCATAAAATGATAGTTTTCACATTTTCAGATGCCACGGGAGTTTATGATTACTGCCAAGGGTACAACATCTAGATGCACATTCTCTTCATGTACTTGATGTGTAATAAAAAGCTTGGTTTAGCGGAGGGACCACGCCCCCCCCCCCCCCCCCCCCCTCCCTGGTCCGCCAGCCGCGGTCCGCCACTAGTTCGAGACCTGTGTTCAAGGATGAAGTATCCATAATTTTCATCGTGTAACAGAAATGATAGCAATGATATCCGTATACCATGAAAAGACACCTGCATCATCGATCATAATGACTTGTGACAATTCAACAGAATAATGCTTTAATTATGTCCGGTAACAATGATAAGCTATAAAGCTATACATGGGTCTATAGCAGATGTCTTTGTTATGTTTAAGCATCCTGCCGATAACCGCTATTTCTGTGTGAAGTAAAAGTGCGAATCTAGGCATTATAAATTTGTTTAAACACTGTGGTTAATGTTATTAACAACAGCAACAACAACAACAACAACAGTTGTTTGTAATCCCTCAATTTCTGGATAGCAAACGAAGAGCGACTACATTACTCTTTGTTTCACAGGACTATTGCGGGATATATCCACTTACGAGTATGTTCACATTTAGAGAACAAAATTTCATATACTATAGATTTTTTAAGGGCGACTCCTTGTGTCTGTACGATGTTTAAGTCAATAGAGAGAAGTGCTTAAAAGCTCGAAATACAGAGGGGTGTAAAGTTCGATGATAGGGAGCCAAGCTAATCGAAAGGGCATGATCAAGTCTCCTTCAGCCTCACCCCCCCCCCCCCCCAACAGGGTCACAATGTAATGGTCGTCAATAATACTATAGCAAAGCTAATATAACTGGACATTATTATCTGACGTACCATGTATATTGCTATTATAGTGTTCATAGCATTTAAGAAATGAGATTATTTTCTCCAGATTTCCTCTTTGTCACACGTGGGTCGAGACAGGTAAATCAAATTACCTGTTTCTAAACGAACAAACTCTGCGACGGGATTCGAACTTTCAACCCTGTAAAACTTCACTATTGAAAGTCCTCCTCTTTTAACGTATTTCTTTCACAATTTTCAAGCTTTTAATATCAGAAAACCATAATGTGCGGATCTGTACGGCCTATTGTGTAAATTGTCATCAATTGCTGTTCGGTAAAGGGCACTCTTGAGCAGATTTATAAAGTCCGATCTCCATCTCACCACTTGTAATATAAGTATAATTTTTGCTGCTACATAATTCATGCTGTAAAAAAAAAACACTGCTTTGATGTCATTATCTCTTTGTAAGCCCCCTCCCCCCCCCCCCCCCCCCACACACACACACACACAAACACACTTCATGAGATGAAAACTTTTCTAATGGTTTTTTTTTTAGTGTATCCACAGATCAATCCAATTACGATCGTTGAGGCCTGGAACCGTCATCTGACAAATAGCTTTCTAATGATCGGATATCCACACATCAGTCACATCAAATCACGTAACCATTCGTGTTACATTCATTACAGTTTACCTTAGTATACAGTAAAACACTAGATGAGCATTGTGCAAAATTTCATAACCACAATTTTCATCGTATTACATACATTTTTTAATATAAGAGATTGAAGGATTAAATTGGGATTTAGGGCTGTTGTTGGGGTTTGTCACCGCATTGTGTGATGGAAACGCACTCGAAACACACAAAATGTATAAATTGCTCATGTCACTTATGAAATTGTAGTTTGCCCTATTCTTTTCCATTTATAAAAAATATTTATGTACTGTTCAAACACTTTAAAGCTTAATTCTTTAAAGACCATCAATACTACTGGGCCAGAAGGGATTAGACCACACAGCGAGGTCACTGACAGGTGGCTATCTCATTAACTCAGCTCTCAACCTACATAAGAAAAAGAGGATCATGGGGGACCAACAGGCACCGATTGGGGAAGTTTTCTATATAGAGGGAGCAAGTAGCTACAAGTAGGACAGTGGGGCTTTAAGAGTCAAACATACTCACCTGAGATTATCCCGTATGTTATCCGCGCTCATCTCGTTCATCAACCTATCCGAAATAGTCACATCCGCTTCACGTGCCTCAAAATCCGAGAATGAAAAATGCGAGCCATCACCACCTCCTCCACCACCACCACCGCCACCACCACTACCTCCTACCCCTCCTCCTCCTCCTCCTACATGAGTCGGTGCCGAAAAGTGGCCAACGAGCACGCCAATGCCTACGCCCACGCACAGGATGGCGATGCCGACAGCCAAGGTCACTGAACGCCTGTATCGGTCCTGCATGGTGGCGACTACAAAGGCCTCGTCCGCGTTGGGTGCGACAAGGCTCATGAATGCCAAGCGCTGCTGTTGCCGTGCTCGCGACGCCGGATGAATCGTCGATTCCATGGCGATGATGAGTAAGCAAGAGGTGATGATTCGAAAAGGGCGGGAAAAACAATTACGGATGAGAATATCGTCTGGTGTTACTGCAAAAAAAAAACGTTCGGTGCCAAATTTGCCTCTGGCAATCACTTTAAGTAGTGAGTGATAGACCTTCTTGCTTGTATTCTGTTAGATCCAAGCGTGGAAAGTTATTGGATTGAATTCAATAAAAACTTGTACCGCTACCATGTGCTCTCTGAAACGGGCTTGTGAACTCCTTAAATGGAGAACTACTTCTGTTGTAAAAGTCGGATGTTAAAGCGTCTTAAAGTGACGTATTCTGGTAAACGGTTTGGCCTACCAGACTTTCGAGGATGCCCTGAAAATATGTGCACCCTGACTTGATCCCTCAAATCAAGTAGAACAAGTTCATGCATGGGACAAATAGGATGAAGAAAGAAAAAAATTAAGTTATTCAAACAACGTATCAATGTCCTGGTCAATCAAGAACAACTAATCCTTTCTTAGGATAAGTTTACGCGGGGGAAAAGGATGTATTACTAGCGAGCATTCTCCAAATTCTCGGCAGTTCTGATGATTTCTCCAAAGTTCAACAAAAATACCTCCAAATCACTAATTATTTCGGAAAGGCAAACGTGTTAAGGAGAGTTAAATGAGGATGAAAATGCTGTCAAGCTGCACTACTAAATAACACTTTTTTACAGCGAAGAAATTTACAATAGCGATCTCTTGTACTCGTTCTGTTTGCGTGCCGACTTCCAGGTCAGTCGCCTGAAGTTCACGAAGATATTTTTGGTACGGAGCATCAAAGCTTTCATCTTTGGCTCAATTTTCCTCGAAAACCACCAAGAACGACTTGACTTGTGATGCAAAGAACAATACATGGGTCCTTTAATGTTGTCTATTTTTCACACAAGAACTTGTTAAAGCTAGAGCATTGTATTGATGATAGACTGCTATACCTTGAGTCGAATGGCAAGGAATAATTATCTGGCAGAGGTTTTGTAGTTTGTAGACAAAATCAGTTTTTTGACGAAAGTGCGGTTTTCAGCTCATTTGTATCATGAAAAGAAATTGGCAATAACCGTCACGTCGAGATAACTAATGAAAGCAGACTCCCCGAAAGGAATGATAACATGAATATTTGATGTTGAAATAAGGTTTTATGCGATGAAAATATTGGAGAAAATTGATGCAAAGCGTGGAAGCGGTGGAGCGAAATGGAGTGATGAAAATTCGAGCGAGCAGGATGAGGAGCATAGAGCACAATGAACGTGATATCCTCGTGTAAAAGAATTTTAGCGACCTCTCTATAACTCGTCCTCTTTCTCTCTCTCTACATCTCTGACGCTCGATACCCGTCTCTCCACCATGCTGTCTCCAGCTCCTCCCTCTTCTCTTCCCCCTCTCTCTATCTCTCGCTCTCTTCCTCTTTCTCTGTCTCTCTCTCTCTCTCTCCCCATCTCTCTCTCTCTCTCCCATCTCTCTCTCTCTCTCTCTCTCTCTCTCTCTCTCCCATCTCTCTCTCTCTCTCTCTCTCTCTCTATATATATATATATCTCTCTCTCTCTCTCCCTTACCATGCTTACGCTTCCTCTTTATTTTCCTCTGTCAGTCACTTCTTGTACCTGACTTCTTTCTACCTTTGTTATGTTTCTCTCGTGCTCTGTTTGTCTTTTCCCCTCTCTCTCTTTCTATTTCTATCTCTCTCTCTCTCTCTCTCACTCTCTTTCTCTCTCTGCATCACTTCTACTTCTATGGCGTTGATCTCTTGTCCTCTTTGCTTAAGAGGAACACAAATATCTTGTCCTCTCTCTCTCTCTCTCTCTCTCTCTCTCGTTCTCTCTCTCCCTCTGACTGATGTCTCTCATTGATTGTATATTTTTAACCATGTACTTTTTGTTGCAAAACCTTTAGGCGTTAAAAATCTCTATAACCTTTCCAATAATCCTTTTTATTACTCTGATTGTTAACCATGTTAAAAAGTATAAACAATATACACAATAATATTTAGAATTACTACAACGTTTTGCAAATGAGGCTTTGAGATTTAAAACACCCACATACACCCACACTCTGTGTTTTAAAAAGTAATCCACAACGTGGAGGATCTATACTGGTCAGGGAATCGCCTGAGGAAAGGGATTTCCCGGCTTCATTTCTCAGTGTTTAGCATTTCTTTTTTGTTATCCAACGCTGGATTAGAATTATATTCTTTTACCTTATTATTCGTGTGGATCTCGAGTTAAGAGGATTCCGAATCAATCTAAATCAATGCAGTTCACAAGAACAGATACATGTACACGTCCCAGGCACTTCAATGAATGCTAAATCTGAACTTGGCAAGATTGTAGTCACGAATAATGATTAAAGGGTGTCCTCTTTTTAGAAATATTTTCTCGAATGGCGGTCACCCTAATTTAAATGTATGCACAATCATCCTAGAAAGAATAGCATTGTTCATGTTATTTGTATCACTAAGAAGTATGATAACGTAGAAAAGAATGACGAGTGATAATATTAGCCTACATCTTTTTTTAAATATCAAACTATGCTTTGAGTGAAGAAATGATTTCATGTTTTCAACAAAATTCATACCAATAAATTGTTATAAATGATATCACTCAGAATACTATAATTTTATTTTGTTTTTTAGAAATTAACATGGTACTTGAATTCTTTTTCTTTTTTAAAATATATAGGATAGTATGATGAAGAGCAAATTGTTCATAAATGATGAACGCAACCATTTTCGAAAATTCAACTCAAGCGTAACTTCGATACCCCATTTTATATCCTAAAGGGACCATGTTCGGATTATTATGTGATACGCCATTGTCATGGAAACGGACCAGGCCTTAAAGTTATTACAAAGTTTTGGTATTGGGTCATGAATATGGTTCGAATGAACATATTGGAAGCCTATGCGATCCTATAATATTCAGTGATCGTTGTCGCGGTTGAAATCGAGTCTTAAGTTATGAAATTGTAAATAATTAACTCTTTATGTCGTATAGCTCCCTCTCAAGGTCAAGATATTAATTAAGCTCTAAAAAGATGTTTATTGAACAAAATCGACCGATTAGCTATTCCCGTTTTTAAATTATATATCCCAACTACATATTGGGAGATTTTCATGGTCGTAGCTACAATTGGACAGCTGTAGGCGCTATTTGAAATTTGTCAAAATTTACCGGGAGCACCGGTAAATTTTTATATTCAATTTTTCTCGGAAGTAGAATTATTTTAAGGGTTAAATTTTCTAGTGCTTATAATACATCCACAGGGGCATCCACATATATCAAAATTGTAAAGAATCACTATCCACTCAATTTTCAAAATTTCCCCAAACTTTTTATTACCTTTAAGCTGAATTTTCGTGAAAAAAATTGCGACCGTGTTTGAATATAAAGGAAAAGTGATTCAAGTATATAGGGGGACTGGAAAGACTGCATGGGAGAGGAAAATATTCGGAAGAAAAGGGAAGGTAGTTAAAGGAAGAGAGGGGGTGAAGGGAGAGATAGAGAGAGGGGAAAGAGGGGAGAAGAGGGGGAATGAGGGTGAGAGGCGAAATGGATAGAGGAAGAAAGAGAGAAAGAGAGAGAGAGAGAGAGAGAGAGAGAGAGAAAGAGAGGGGAAAACACCAGCTTTTGAAAGACAGATTGCCCAGTACCAAAAACTATTTTCAGACTCGGATAGAAGCCCGGATACAAAAAAAATATATCGAGGGTAGTCCGGAATTCATAATATCTAAATGCAAGACATCATTTATTGTTGGAGAAATCATCTGGGTACACCCCGAACCGGAAGTCGCGAGTGTTTGTTTCCATGGGAACACACTTAGCCGATGTCAGTCGTTGAAAGGTATATCAACAAACGGCATTTTTCGCGCGCTTTTACCGCCTCTTCCGGAGCAGGGCGAAACTCTTCGCTCCTTCTGCGAGGAGTTAAAAAAAAGAAGACCAATCTTGTCTTAGAAACGGCAAAATGAGCCTTATTTCGGATCGGGTTTTCGTGTTAAATGATAAAATGATTAGTTGGTGCCTTGGAAAGCTAGGCTCGAGCAATCGTCAGGCCCTGTAAGATTGTTTTATTAGTGATTTATTGAAAGTGCAAGTGCAAGAAGCTTCTTGCGTTTTCACGTTTCAAGGGCAGACATGACAAAATATCGATTAAAAGCTTCCCATACCACCCCGGGTAATGTTTAGGGCATGTTATTCTTGCGTTCAGGGTATGTTTGCGTTCACTAACAGTCTGTTCTTCGTAAACTGTGCCTTGGTCTAGTGGTTCAATCACCAGATGGTGGATTACACAGTACGGAGTTCGAATCCCTGCTACGGAAATTACGGGGGGGGGGGGGGGGGGTAGTGAGCACAATTTTTTTTTGTTCGGCTCTCGAAATTTTGATCCGATGACACAACCCCAGAGCCGCCACTGGAGTATAGTATAGTGTTTGGTCCAGGGCTATAGTTAAGAATTCCGTTAGTGCAAGATATTGGCTCTGGGGTTATTGTCATCGGATTATCACATTTTTGTTCGGCCCTCGAAAAATTTATCAATGCCCCCCCCCCCCCCCTCTCCCCTTGAGCGCAAGGGGAGGGGACCCATCTCCAAAAAAAAGGTAAAATTCACGTGTTTTTACGCGTTTTTTTTCTCCAGGGGAGGGGGCCGGCCCGCCCCCCCCCCCCCGGATCCGCCACTGGGGTATAGTGTTTGTTCCAGGGCTATAGTTAAGAATTCCGTTAGTGCAATTTATTGGCACTGGGGTTGTTATCATCGGATTAACACATTTGTCACTCTCGACCCAGGTGAAGAAAAATGGCTATAGGCCAAAGAATTTTCTTTAATTAATGAGCGCCTTCTTGCTAAAGTTCAGTATTTGGTCCTTTGTATCCTCATGAAAAAACCGTTATGACTGATGTAATTACTATTTGAACGTATTAGTAGGAGGAGAGGGAGGTAGGGAGGAGAAGAATGGAATGAGAGAAGGATGAAAAAGAGGA